CTCCCTCTACACTGTCCCCCATCAAACACTCCCAGGACAGGGACAGCACAGGGTTAGATACAGAGTAAAGCTTCTTCTACACTGTCCCCCATCAAACACTCCCCAGGACAGGGACAGCACAGGGTTAGATACAGAGTAAAGCTTCTTCTACACTGTCCCCCATCAAACACTCCCCAGGACAGGGACAGCACGGGGTTAGATACAGCGAATACGGTGCGATCTCCTGGTTTTCACTGTCTGGAATGAGAGACTGCTGTACAGAGTGGGTCCTGTGAGCTCCTTTCTTGTTGGTTTTGAACTTACCATTCTGTAGCCAGGTTTGTGTGCTTGGCTTCATTGAGCTGTTCCTGCAGTGCTTGTTTGGCTCGAATTTCAGCATCCAACGCTGACTGCAACTCCAACTTGGCCGAGGCCTCCAGCTTCTGAAGGCGCCGGACCTTCCAGTGTGTGTCCTTCAGCGAGAGAGAGAGAGAGAGTGACCCTGAGCTTTAGAATTCCCTCTCCATCCCAGCTACAAAATCTTCCTTTTAACTTACCTCAACTTAAACCTACCAAATTAGTGGAACCATATGATGCATAGCCTCCTCACTTCCTCTATCTTCCCAGTTTGTATCCCCCTCCTTATCTCTCAATCCCTCCAGTTTCCATCCTCTCCACATCCTCCAATCCCACTGACCCACACTCTCTGCACATCGTTCACTCCCACTGACCCATAGTCTCTCCATCTCCCTCACTCAGTATTTCCCATAAATCCCTGTTACCTGTATCCCTCAGTCACAGCTCACTCCCCCAGCACCCAGGCCCACATTCCCCAATCCTGACATCACCCAGGCCCACCTCTCTCCCACATCATAAGACTATAAGACATAGGAGCAGAAATTAGGCCATTCAGCCCATCGAATCTGCTCCACCATTCAATCATGGCTGATAAGTTCCTCAATCCCATTCTCCCACTTTCTCCCCATAACCCTTGATCCCCTTGACAATTAAGAGCCTATCTATCTCTGTCTTAAATGTACTCAATGACCTGGCCTCCACAGCCTTCTGTGGCAGTAAATTCCATAGATTCACCATTCTCTGGCTGAAGAGGTTTCTCCTGATCTCCGTTCTAAAAGGTCTTCCCATTACTCTAAGGCTGTGCCCTTGGGTCCTAGACTCTCCTACCAATGGAAACATCTTCCCAACATCCACTCTGTCCAGGCCAATCAGTATTCTGTAAGTTTCAATCAGATTCCCCCTCATCCTTCTAAAACTCCAATAAGTATAGTGCCAGAGTCCTCAAACGTTCCTCATATGTTAAGGCTTTCATTCCTGGGACCATTCTCGTGAACCTCCTCTGGACCCGCTCCAGGACCAGTACATTCTTCCTGAGATATGGGGCCCAAAACTGCACACAGTACTGCAAAAACAGCCTGACCAGGGCCTTATAAAGCCTCAGTAGTACATCCCTGCTTTTATATTCAAGTCCTCTCAAAATAAATGCCAAAGTTGCATTTGCCTTCCTAACTACTGACTCAACCTGCAAGTTCACCTTGGGAGTTCTAGTCCAGGATTCTCTCAAGTCTCTTTGCGCTTCAGATTTCTGAGTTTTCTCCCCATTTAGAAAATAGTCCATGCTTTTATTCTTCTTACCAAAGTGCGTGGCCTCACACTTTCCCACGTTGCACTCCATCTGCCACTTCTTTACCCACTCTCCTAACCTGTCCAAATCCTTCTGCAGCCTCCCCGCCTCCCTAATACTACTTATCCCTCCACCTATCTTTGTATCGTCTGCAAACTTAGCCAGAATGCCCACAGTTCCTTCATTGAGAACATTTAATGTACAAAGTGAAAGATTGTGGTCCCAACACTGACCCTTGTGGAACACCACTTGTCACCGCCTGCCATTCTGAGAAAGAGCCCTTTATCCCCTCTCTCTGCTTTCTCCCAGACAGCCAATCTTCTATCCATGCTAGCACCTTGCTTCTAACACCAAGGGCCCTTATCTTACTCAGCAGCCTCCTATGTGGCACCTTATCAAAGACCTTCTTGAAGTCCAGGTAGATAACATCCATTGGCTCTCCTTGGTCTACCCTGCTTGTTACTTCCTCAAAGATTTCTAACAGATTTGTCAGGCATGACCTCCCCTTGATGAAGCCATGCTGACTTTGCCCTATTTTGTTATGCATTTCCAAGTATTCAGAAATCTCATCCTTCACAACGGGCTTCAAAATTTTACCTACAACCGAGGTTTAGCTAATCGGCCTATAATTTTCCATCTTTTGCCATACTCCCTTCTTAAACAGAGGGTGTTACATTAGCAATTTTTCCAGTCCTCTGGAACCCTCCCTGACTCTAGCGATTCCTGAAAGATCACCACTAACGTTTCCACTATCTCTTCAGCCAAGTCCTTAAGAACTCTGGGGTGTAGTCCATCTGGTCCCAGTGATTTATCCACCTTCAGGCCATTCAGTTCTTCTCGCACATTCTCCTTGGTGATGGCCACCATACTCAGGTCTGCCACCTGTCTCTCTTCAATTTTTGGGATATTGCTCGTGTCTTCCACCGTGAAGACTGACGCGAAGTAATTATTCAGTTCCTCAGCCATTTCCTTGTTCCTCACTACTATCTCTCCACTGTCATTTTCCAGTGGTCCAATGTCCACTTTTACTCTCTTTTGCCCTTTATATATCTAGAGAAACTCTTACAGTCTTCCTTTTAATTACTGGCTAGCTTACTCTCATATTTAATCTTCTCCCTCCTTATTTTTTTTTTGTTGCCCTCTGTTGGTCTTTGTAAGCTTCCCAGTCTTCTGGTTTCCCACTGCCCTTCGCTACATTATATGCTTTCTCTTTTGCTTTTATGCTATCCCTGACTTTCTTAGTCAGCCATGGTTACCTCACTGTCCCTGTACCATGCTTCTCGTCCCTAGAGATGAATTTTTGCTGTGTCTCCTGAATTACTCCCAGAAACTCCTGCCATTGCTGTTCCACTGTCTTTCCTGCTAGGCTCCTCTTTCAGTCAATTCTGCCTAGCTCCTCCCTCATTCCTCTGTAGTTACCTTTCTTCAACTGTAATACCGTTACATCTGATTCTATCTTCTCCCTCTCCTTCAGAGTAAATTCTATTATATTATGATCACTGCCTCCTAAGGGTTCCTTCATCTTAATCTCCCTCAAATCTGCCTCATTGCACATCATTAAATCCAGTATTGCCTGTTCCCCAGTGCGCTCCACCACAAGCTGCTCCAAAACTCCATCTCAAACATTCCTCTCATATCCCTCAGTCCCACCTGCCCCCCACACCCCATATCCCCTAGTCCCAC